TTACTCACACATTCCCCGTGTTTGAAGAAATGGTAAAGTGATTTAGTTATAAAATATTGGATCTGTCAACCGCCCAAATGACAGAATCCTCTTGGCTATCAAGGTGGATAGATTGTAAAAGGTTCATCGGTTCTTCCAACTGAAAGAACTAGAGAATACCTCGCGCGTTGCTGTGGGAATTTGAAGATAAATTAGATAAACTGTTTATCGGCCTCTACAAAACAAAAACGATTCGACATCGTTTTGTCCAGCACCTTGCTTCATCAAGATCTTGGGCTTCTTGGAACCATGCATTAGTCGGCGGGCCGCTGCTTCTTGATTTCTTATTTAATTGACCAAATGACTTTTTTATAATTGAGTGAATGGTTCGATCAGGTATGTTGCCGAATCATGCTTGCTTTGGATATTCAGATAAATCTAATTAAATATACTACTATTTAACTCTCTCAATCCATCGTGGCTAATCAATTGAAGAGAATGATACATAACGTAACACTAAAGCAGTAATCACGTTTTAGACGAATCAGTTGACCATTTTTTCCGAAAAAAATATACAGGCACTGAGGCACAGGCTAAGATGGTAGCCCTATCTACATTATGGTGCAGGTGCTAGACCGTGGGTACTGGTCGTACACGACGCCCATAGGCGGCGGCGGCGGGTAGATAATAGTACCGGTTGTAAGCTGCCACAGCTTCGGCGACGGGTCCGGCTTCTTCTCATCCATGAGTTGCGTGCCGCCCACATCTTGCACAGGTTGCCGGTGAGCTCGATGGAGTCAGCGCCCTCGCCAACAACGACGACCCGGTCCTTGCCATCGCCGGCGATGGCCACGGAGGCAACCCCGCCCTCGGCCGCCAGCAGCGCCATGGCCTTGGACCGGCATGTCTCGGCGTCGCCATGGAAGCAAGCATCGCCGGCTCTGGATTGGATTAACTCCAGCAACAAAGAGCAGGACACTGCAGCCTGTCGGTTGTGGATGGATGAGTGTTTTGGGCGTTGCTTTTGTAGGCGAAGTGATCTGATTGGTGGAGTTCGAGGTGGAAATAAATAGAGTCTCTTTGAATCCCTCGTGAACATAACTGAAGAATTGAAGGAGGGAGGGAGGAGAACTGAAGAGACAGAGGGAGGAACAAAGAGACAGCTACGTGGAGAGAAGCTCCATGGTGACGTGGCTTCGTAGAATCACAGGAAAATTAGATAGTGGGGTTCTCCTGTTTAGGTATAGAAGATTCATGAGTAGTTAGACTTCTGACGCTAATTTCTCATTCCCCCTCCTCTTCAGAGTCACAGACATGGACACCCTTATTGTCCTCACAGATTTGAATTTAGTTAGCTTGTACCGTAGCTAGCTGCTAGCCAGCCAAGTAGCCATGCAGCCATGTTGACGCCGGCACACACTTAGTTTCAACAAAATATATACGCTGCGCGTCAGGAACTAAATCGGAGCAATTAATTTGACCATTGACCTGATCTGGTGCCCTATCGTGCGGTACACGCACACTGGCGCGCGGTTTGGACGATCGGCTTCTCATGGCTGATGAGATGTTCGTCAATTACCTAGAAACACCTCATATCTTTGTCGCTTTCATAAGCTAGTGGACGAAGATATCCTAGAAACACCTCATAAAATGTTGATAACAAAAGGAATCAAGGACAACTTTGCATGTGTGGCTAACATGTGTTTTGGAGAAAAAAAAAGTGATAACATTAGGCCACAAGCATGGATGTAAAGACATCCCCAAGAGTTGACGAGAAGCAATTAAGAACTCAAGATTGAAGATGAAGAACGTTCAGGAGTCAAGCAAAACAATCTTGGACTCAAGATCAAAGGGATCTCGAAAGAGTCAAATTTTGCGATTGAATACTCAAGATTGAAGATCTTTTCAAGGGTTGAGTATCGCTAGGAGGGGATGTTAGTGCTTGGAGGTCGGCTAATTAAGTATTCAATGTGCATGATGGTGAAAAAATTGGTGAATAGAAGAAAGAGACCAAGGCTTTGATGTTGCTATTCAAACGGCTTCAATGGACGGTCTGATAGAGCCGTTCAATGATCACCGCATAGTTGTTAGAAGGTCATGAGAAATGTGATTGGTGGAGATGTCACAATGTTGATGAATGGATAGGACAAACCGTTGGGAAATTCATTTCTTTTCCACCATTGTCAGGAAGACTCATTTGAGAGGTGAGAATCCAAAGCACATCCCTCCATCAACAACTGACACATATACAAATTAGGTATTTTCTTATATGAAGCAACTTGCATTGGGTAGAAGTTGGGCTTACAAGAAATAAACTTGGATGGCATGCAAATCTCAACTAAGGAGCCAATCCTCATCACAATGCATAATTCAAACAATGAATTTGGATATGTCGGGAGCTGAGAAGACTGGTGACCACGTACATAAGTTGTTGTGCATCCATAGCGCACTCTACGGCGGTGGTGCGACACCACGGGTGCTAGCTACGTGGGCGAAGTATGTTCCTGACCCGGGACTAAAGGACCCCCTTTAGTCCCGGATGCTTGCTCCCGGGTGGGGAACCGGGACTAGAGGGGGTTCCCCACCGGGAGTAAAGCCCGTCTCTGTACCAGTGTATGTTGGGCGGTGGAGCAATGCCGAGATAGGTGAGGCACATTGCCGGAGGAGGATCAGGAGGGATGGTGGCGACAGAGAGAGGCAGGGCAATAACGGAGAGCCCACGCGCTGAAATGAGCTCAGATTAGCATGACACTATGTGGGACAAAGAACAATGGAGACTAATGGCTGCCACATTACGTCTCTTAAAACACGTTTGTGGGTTTAAAAAATCATAGATGCACCTTCTTTAGTCGCGCCTCTGATGACATCCCCTCTCATCAAAGACACGTATAGATTGAGACAGGTCTCCAATGGCGATCAAACATCAGAGACGTGGGTATTTGAGACCCGTCTTTGATCTGATCACCTCTCATTGGAGATGCGGGTGAATTCAGACACATCTCGGATGGATTTCATATCAGAGACGCATCTTGTTTGGATGCGCCTCTAATATGGTTCTCACATTATAGACGTGTCATGTTTGCACAGGTCTCTGATATTTATGCGCTCTCAACAGGGATGAGCTATCCCCAAAAAAAACAATATCACAGACAAGAATGGTTAACCATGTCTCTAATTTGTCACCAGTGATGCGTCCTGTTGACTCGTTTTTTATGTGTGCTATTTTGGCATTGTGACTTGTGAGGATTGTCTTGTTCCTATGCAAATCCAAGGATGTTTTCTATGGAACAATAGTTGCACCAAAACTGGATGTCTTTTGCTTTTCTATGATGAAATGATTTAGTCTACCAAATGCACGCCACTGCTTAACTAACAAGGTATATCACTTGTTCTGTTGTTTATTAAAGCCTTCATTTCAGGAAAATATACAAAGGCTACATTTGAGATTCTAGACTTCTAAAGTATGTTATAGTAAAATTATATCAACTGTTGTACAATGTTGTGTATTTTTTTTTGAGTGATGACCTAAAGAATAAGTTCACCTTGCATCCCAAAACTAAGGACCGGGTCTAATTTTCAACCCTTATAAAACCACATATTTTTAGCCAACAATTATTAAAACCATTCACTTATCGACCTTAACTCGAATTTTAAGGGAGACGAGGCGTCCATGTGGTGACGTGGCCAGGGCCAAAATATTTATTATATTTTCATATTTCTAACTAAATTTATTCTTTCATTTGTGGAGCACCTACATCCACAAATATATAACAAAATGTAATTTGACTGTTTAAAATATTGCTATGTGCTAATTAAACTTATTCACTATGAAGCAAATGAATTTTTAATACATATGTGTGCATTATTATAGTTGTTTGCAGTGATATGCTAAATTGATTTTGTAGAACAACGATTCACACGTAGCATTATTGAAAACCTAAATCAATTTAGTACAAAATATAATTTGATCATCATGATAAAAAAAGGGTTTAGTTTGGTTTTCGACACACTATCTATTTTAGTTTATTTTATGTTTCAGAAGGGCTCAAAATTTCAAAGAAAAATCGTCAAAAATTTCATGAATTTTGGTAATTTCGGGGGTGACCGAAGGAACAAAAATCAAAATTTGTATTACACTAATAAACAAGCTTTATTGTAAATTATAACTATAGACTCATATTTTTCTATTGTTTATGTTGCAAAATTTCCTACTCAATAGATGTGGAGACATAAATTATGCTAAAATTTTGTTTATAGCTAAAAATTTTAGAAAATTATATCTTTTGTTGAAGTCTCTACAAAATTTTATGAAAATTTCATGAACTTCGATAACTTTGGCAGTCATCCAAAAAAATTCAAATACTGAAACTGAAAACCCTGTCACATAATACTTTATGTTACTTAGAAAAAATTATTTATGTTTCAAGTATTTACTAGAAAGCGAAAGTTTTCTCGAAGTTATTAAGCCATTTTTTGATTCAAATACTAATTAGTGGTTGGCTCAATATTGATCCAAACGAGGCCAAAACTGAAACTACTTTGCAGCATGGTGAGGAGCATTTTGCGATCATGTAGCGTGTATTTGGTTGAGTTGGGTAAAATACATGCATGGCAGAAACCCACAATATCTTTGGACTTTTCAATTTCCAATATCAAAATGAAGTTAACTGTGTACAACGTATCTTGTCCACATGTTCACATCGAAAGAGTTCAAACATTCCATACGGCACGGCGAAAACATGTACTAGTAGGTGACCGGATTGCCGTCTCGGGTAATCACATCCATCCAAGTCCAACCATTCCGTACGTTATGTCCATCAGTGCACGTTCATATACTTCCTACTAACATAGGAGAAGCGGAAAGACCACTATATAATCCCACGCACCACGAGACTAACCTCAAACCATCAGGCAAATCAGAGCACAGGAAATAAGAAAAACAGAGTGCCAGCCTGCGAGGAGAGCCTGACCATTTTTTTTTCAGGCTAGCAAAGATGACCACTGCCGGAACTGTTGCCGCCATGGCGATGTTCCTCCTGGTCACGCTCTCTGCTTCCCAAATGGCGTCCTCCCTCCGCCCCCACGCTGGCCTCGGCCTCGGCACATGCCGCCCCAGCGGGTACCTCCCGGGCCGGTCTGGCAATTGTGAGAAGAGCAACGACCCGGACTGCTGCGAGGACGGTAAGATGTACCCGCAGTATCGCTGCTCGCCGCCGGTCACAGACAGCACCAAGGCAGTGCTGACGCTCAACAGCTTTGAGAAGGGCAAGGACGGCGGCGGCCCGTCAGAGTGCGACAACGCGTACCACAGTGACGAGGAGAAGGTTGTTGCGCTCTCAACGGGATGGTTCAGCAACATGGCGCGCTGCGGGCACCGCATCAAGATCACAGCGAACGGCAACTCCGTGTACGCCAAGGTGGTGGACGAGTGTGACTCCGTGGAAGGCTGTGACGAGGACCACAACTTTGAGCCGCCATGCGACAACAACATCGTCGACGCGTCGCCAGCTGTGTGGGATGCCTTGGGGCTCGATCAGAACGTCGGCATGGTAGACATCTCCTGGTCCGAGGAGTGAACATCGGCTGCAGTGGATGGTTATGTTTCCTTTGTTGGTGAGAGGTGCCGTGCTGTGTATATTTCAGAGTAGGGTAGTTGGCTCGTGGCTCATTGCCCTATACGTACTGTACTATATCCCATTGTATTGTTGCTTGTGTGTGTGTGTGTGTGTGTGTATGGAATAAAAGGTGTCATTCATCTTCTAAATCATTCTATCTAATCTAGCTAGAAGGAATTGGAATGATAGTAAATTATGTTGCTTTTGTACTAATTTTCAAACCATTCATCACCTCTTCTTTGAATGTTACCATGCTAGATTTTTGTGGCATGCTTTACATATTGTGTTTGTAGTGCCTCCTTTGAGTGTGGAACGGCAACTCCATGTATGCCAAGATTGTTTATTCAATAGGCGAATTGAGCGTAGCTCAGCGGGTTGGGTTCCTTGTGGTGAAACCTGCCCACCCGGATTTAAGTCCCCGACTTGACACGGGTGCTCGTATTTTTCTGGATTTTTTCTAGGATTTAACGGCGCTATTTTTCAGTGATAGGCGAAGTGCCCGTCGATAGCGAGGCGTCTGTGGTGACTTCGTCAATCTCGAGATTTGCCGGTCCAACTCAGTTCTTCGAATGTGCTCATATGGCTAGGGTGTGCATGCGTGCGTTTATAGATGTGAGTGTGCGCTCGTGTATGTGAGCATCTGCTTGTGTAATTGGGTCTCGCAAAAAAAGGTTGTTTATTCAATAGAGATGGCGTAAACAAGGATGCGATAAGTACATTCTCTATTGGTGACTGGTGCTGCAGGATTTTGTTGGTCTATATGGCTAGCAAGGAATGATAGAGTTTTTGATAAATCTCAACCTAAAAAGTATTTGTAGGTTAGGTCCGATATTGGGCCCAATTGCAGCATAGTGAAGAGAGAAAATACTTTATTATACAAACATGTTGCAAGCTGGAGACTGCAGCAATGGCTTTCTTTGCATCTCATGGATGACCATTCACTTTTATTCTTGGTTTTAGTTAAAGGTGTCTATGAACTATGTGATGTTTTATGTGTTAAATTTTGTAAAATAAGTTTGGTCTAATTCCTCTATTGAGAGGATGAAGTTGGATGTTTAATTCCAATATTAAAAAATCTACGGGTCTACGGCGGGCCGGCGCTCATAGCATGACATCTTGCCACATCGTTAATAAGCTAGCATTTCAGCTGTCCAATTTTTATTGTATGCTAAATTTGTCCCGCCTTTCTTTATTTATTAGGACTTGTTTAGATAAATCCATCATCTCCCAACAAATGTGGATTAGCTAATTTCTCCTGATCAGTTTCTCTCGTCCACTCCAATGAACGCGAGGTGAATGGCTTTATTAAAATAAACCTGAGAAATTAATCCACTAGCACATTACATGATGAGCAAATAATCACGTTTATGGATGGAAAGAAGCATCAAAAATCATATTGATTGCAGTTTGAATAGCTTGACCTCTTCTCGATGCTGCAAGAACAACGGGTTTCATTCAGCTGTAACTCTTTCTATCTCTCTTCATAATGAACCAGCCAAGTCACCAAATCCAGTGATGTGTCACGGTATCAAATACAAATAAAACATAGGTGAAACCCTAACTGAAACTGGCCTTAAATATTAACAATATTTATATCTCTAAATAAGTTTATATTATGATACTAATTATGCACCATGAAATCAATATTTTTTATATCACGATTCCTATCTATCAGGCGAATGATTTTTTTAGTCCTGTTCAGTCGATATAGCTCTGCTGCTTGCTCCTTCCTGCTTTCGCCCAACCTGCGGACTATAGGCGCATAGACCAGTGGGCGAGCGGCCGCGTGTCCTGCGGTGGAGCCTCTCACCTTGCTGCATTTGACTGCTACATCGGTGGTTAATGACTGTGCATCCTTGTCTTTGTAGGCGATGATCCAGCCATTCAATCAAATTCAACCACCGTAAAGCATCGCCTGAGAGATTGACTGCATTTTCAACTTTGATTATCTATCAGCCATTCAATCAAAACTGCAAATGCTTAACTTTTTCGAAAAGGGAGAATGACACCCTTTGTGAGACAGAGAGGAAGTAGGACTATACATTATACATGTTCGATCATCATCTGCCCCACCCAAGACACGTCGTCGTTGGATATATTTCCCGTCGCCGGCGAGCGGTAGTCGCCATATATGTTTCCCGCCCCCGGCGAGTGGTAACCGCGGGTTCCACGCGAAAAGTCGGATGTAGTCCTGTTATACTCCTGCTGCGACAGAACTGGGTCCTGTTATACTCCTGCTGCGACAGAACTGGAAGCGTCACATCCTCGGATTGCAGGACGTTCATGGCTTGCACAATTGACGGTCGCACGCTAGGCTCCGGGTGCGCACACCACAGCCCGACCACCAAGACGCGCTGCAGCTGCCACTCGCAGACACCGTCCAGCAGCTGCCTGCCTTCGGTCAGCAGCCTCTTGTCCACCGCTTCCAGAAGAGCATTTCTGTTGTACAGGTCCCAGATCCACTTGAGTAGCGGGATCACCTTGTCGGGGTGCTCCATCTCCGGCCGCCGTCCCGTGACGATCTCCAGGAGGACGACGCCGAAGCTGTAGACGTCGGACTCAATGCTGGGGCGCCGAGTCCGGATGAACTCCGGGTCGATGTACGCGGCGGTGCCCATAACGACCTGCGTCGTCCTTGGCCCGGCTCCATGGTCGACGAGCCTGGCCAGGCCAGGCCAAATTCTCCTAGCATTGTGCTGTGTGACGAGTCGAGTAGTATGTTGCTGGGCTTGATGCCGCCTTTGCAGGACGCACCGATCCCACTCCGTCTTATGAACGACGTACAGGAATATGAAGTAAAGAATCAAGTCACAGAAGAGACACACGATTTAACGTGGAAAACTCCTCCAATGTGAAGAGGAAAAACCATGGAAACCAGCCAGCAACAATCTCACTATCTCAAGAGTTTTGGGTTAGACGCCTATGGCGGCTTACAAGAGAATCAAGTCTCCACGAAACCCTAGCAAGGGTGTATATACCGTACCGTACCGCGGGGGGCGGAGCCCCCCGCACCCCCCGAGCACAGGGGTGAGACCTGATGGAGCCTCCGGCAACGGGCCTCCGCTCCGCTCCGTCAGAAGCCCGGTCTATATCCTGGAGTGAATTTGGAACAACTTCAACAAACTCTACCTTAAGACAAATTCATCTTGTATCATAAATCAACCCTTCATCCTGAACATAACAAAGATAGAAAACCACTGGTGCCAACAATAGTCTCTTGGACTATCCAATTAAACCAACTAAGCTTGAGCACAGCTCAAACTTAGCAACAGGAACAGGCTTTGTCATCATATCAGCAGGATTATCATGAGTACTAATCTTGCATACCTTCAGCTTACCTTCTTCAATCACATCACGCACAAAATGATACTTGATATCTATGTGCTTAGTTCTCTCATGGAACATCTGATCTTTAGTGAGGTAAATTGCACTTTGACTGTCACAGTGCAAACTTATGCAAGATTCAACTCCACAAAGCTCAGCGTACAAACCTTTCAGCCAAATTAATTCTTTGCACGCTTCACAAATAGCCATATATTCTGCTTCAGTAGTAGACAAAGCAACAACTGACTGTAAAGTAGCCCTCCAACTCACAGCACAACTGCCAACAGTAAACACATAACCTGTAAGTGATCTTCGCCTGTCCAGATCAGCAGCATAATTAGAATCCACATAGCCAATAAGACCCTTATCAGTTCTTCCAAACTTTAAACAGGAATCTGCTGTGCCTCTGAGGTACCTGAAAATCCACTGAACTGCCCTCCAATATTCTTTGCTAGGATTAGACATATATTTACTAACAAGACTCCGGCCCAAGCCTCCGGCGACGGACCTCCACTCCGCTCCGTCAGAAGCCCGACCTATATCCTGGAGTGAATTTGGAACTAACTCCAACACTCCGTGTGCAGGTAGCGCAGCGCGGAGCCTAGGCCAAGGATAATCATGTATCTGTTGTTCATCATCAAAATTAGCAAGTACTAGTTAACACAGAAGCAATGAGAGAATAATAGCCTTCTAAGTAGCTACTAGAGTACTGGAAAGACGTAGCAGCAAACAGTGAAATTTTTTGTTTTGAGTGACTGTAGTACCTCTCTGGCCAAGATAGCAAGCTGTTGTAATTGTAAAGGTGTCTGTCAAGACTGCCTACCGGCACAAGCTCATAGACGAGCAAGAGACCCTTGCGGCTGTCACACCAGCCTAGCAACTGCACGAGGTTCCGATGCCGCAAACGGCTTATGATCTTCACCTCAGCCTCAAACTCCTTCCTTCCCTGTGCGCCGATGACTCAGCCGCCGAGAACATCTTTATGGCCACCGCACGGTCTTGGTCAAGGTTTTTTTTTTCAGAAATTAAAATTTATTGGAGGTCATAGATAATCAGGATAAGCAGGATATATCGGAAATATCGGACCAAATTCAAAAAATTCAAATTTTTTTAAAAAAATTGTAGAATTTGACTTAAAACTATTCCTAAGCTATTAAACATCACTTGTTCACAAATAAAAACAAGAAAAAAAACATTATGAGTGCATTAGATAGGTTCTATGCCGAACGTTGCTAAGTCCCACATATTACAGTCCATTCTATAGCATATATAATAAGGCCCACTACCCGTGGCGGATTCAGGATGGGATCAAGGAGGGGGCTAAGTAATGGACATGTTGATTGATAATGATGATTTATGCTTGATGCTACAGTATTTTAACGAGAAATTAAGGCTCACGAGGGGGGCTGCAGCCCCCGATCCGCCAATGCCCACTACACTCAATAGCACATATTACAGTCCATTAGATAGGTAAGTAGTCTCAAATTCATTACAAAATATAGGATTGCACTAAAAGCTAACAACACATCCACTGAAGTGTGCCATGCACCATCCAGATCTTTTCCTTTGATATTGAGCCTACACCTTAAAAAATATTGACATAGACAATTTTCAAACTCAATGAAATAAAATCACAA